GGCGACTTTACAAGTGGGCGCAGACCCCACTTGTAAAGTCTGCACTGAGTGTCGTTCTCAAGGTTCCGACTTGTGAAAATGTAGTTCGGGGGCCACCCTATCTAATCGAAGTGGAGTGCGGAAAGACACTCATATCTAATCAAAGTAGAGTTGCGGGAAGGCACTCATATCTTATCATATCTTTCACTGAGACCGTGGCCTACGACCAGTATCGTCACACTTGTTACCCTCGTCATTCTATGGCGAAAATGGCTGCTACCTTGCTGGCTCTTCACTTTCACCAACCTTTGCGACTGCCATGCAAGCCTTGAAGAAGGGCCTTTCAGGTATCCGATTTTGTATGGAATCCCGGGTTGGTATCCCTATCTAATCATACACTCAGAGCCTGTGCTCTGATGTTGATTAGATATGACCGCCCTTCCGCAGCTCCACTTCGATTAGATATTGTCAGTTCGATTAGATATTATGAGTGGCCCCCTCGAACTACATTTTCACCGATAGAGCATCTTTTTCGGAAGCACCACATTATTCGAACGCAGTAACCCACACCTATTCGTTCGCGTTTATGTGCCTTCAAAGTGGCGACTGCAGACAATTACAATAGCATCGCTCGGAACATGACAGTTGGATAAACACAAAATCGAAATTTTTTTTTGGATCGAATCCATCCGTAAATGAGCGGTAGAATAAACAGCACCTGTCCATTTGTCACAGTCACTTGTCTGAGGAAAGGAAAGGAAGAATGACTAGAATAGTTCAAGGGTCGAGGGGCCAGTGAAATTGGTGAAGATATTGTAAAAGGGAAATGGCCCGCAAAAATTGGCGGTCCAAAAGGCTTGTGAGTTCTAATAGCTCGTTTAAGGTTTTCGTCCAAAATGGACAAACCAAAGGAGAGTTTGCTAGGAGAGAGATAGGAAGGAATGAGGACACAGGAAATTAACTAATTCATTTCAAAAAAGGTCGAATTGCAGAGAATCGGATCATGTTGCTCATCAAACCAGACAGAATTCTGCTCGCAAAGGTCGAATGAAACTTCAAGGTTCACCTTCACCCAAATAGTGAGCACTGACCTTCTCCACAGATCCTGTTTTCCACAAGTTTGGCTTTCCAGCATACAACGGCGACAGAACGTCTCCATTGCCGATATGGAGCGTACCTCGCTGAACACTATGCTCAGGCATATACACGGTATTTGGGTACACGTCTTCTGAAATATCACAAATAGAGGTGCGTCAAAGGACTGCGAAGAAGCTACGGAGAGTTATCCATAATAAATCAAATTTTGTCTTGTAATAAGAATATAAACTACAAAATTTTTGAATTTACTTGGTTTTCGGAAAAAAAGGTAAAATTACAAACTTTCTAAGGTGCCGTTGGGCGCCACTTCAGCCGGATCCGAGTAGAGAATCGCGCCGATGGCACCGTACTGCTGGGCCATTGCGACTTTGTACGCGGGCGAACACTGCTCCCATACCGCGAATAGTGCCATTGTTTCCCCTTTCAGAATTACGCGATTATATCATTTGGGTATGTGAGAAAGTAAAGAAATCATTTGTGAGAAGAAGCGAGCCTACATGAAGGTGATCCTCAGCACTCTGCAGCAAATCACTTACGGACTCAAACGATTATTACTCGTGCCGGGAGCCAAACAAACTAGTTAAAGCCATTCTGTGCCAGTCTGCTGATGGCTACAGGGTGCGCCCGAATCATAGCTGGTGTCAATTTTGGTTTTTGACACCCGCTTCCGTCTATATGGTTTACTGGCTACTCACCTTGATGAGAGTCTTCGTCATCCCCGTTTTCGACATAATTTATTACTCGGAACCCAAACACCAAATGGAAATGAAACCACTCGACATCTTTTGCATCGTTCAGGTATTATGACCTTCATGTTTCCGATCTTTCAATCGCATCATAGGGCGCTATCGAGGTGTTTATTGCGTTGATGAAAATGTTTAATGAAGATACAAGTTTAAACCGTCAATATGCTCTGCTCACACCTCATTACAGGCGTTACTAAGGGCTATTGCTAGGCGTCTTACAAGCATTCCCGATAGAACCATGGTTGGGGCAGTAATGAGCTATGGATCTACATACGTCCCACTTATTCTCCACAAGGAAGATACTGGAATCAAAAATACAAGATGGAAGTTACTAGAACACGGTGATACGATACCGCGCAGTGGGTTTCCTAATCGCCTCCTTTAAGGGCATTCGTTTGAGTGAATATGTGTAAGGCCTAAAAAACGGCAGCTGCGTGATTGCAAGACAAATGAACAACGGGGTGAGACATGCATAGATAAAGGAAAAATCCTCTCTATTTCTACACGCTAATTATGTTCCATTCGAGCGCCGACTGGCCTCTCATTTCCTTGCCCAGACGATACGCGCATCTATCTGATTTTGATATGAAGACGAACGCGTGCGCGTTCATAAACAATGTATCAGCAGCGAGCACTTTGTCATTTTGTATCTTGCTCAGATTTACAGTAACACATACTTTGAGTGAAATCCCTTGACTTTTGGAGATACTGATACTCCTTTTCATTGCCTTGTCCGCAAAAAACCACATCGCCTGTCACGGTGCCATTTGGTGAATACGCCAACCATTGTATACCGGCATCTGAAGCAAAAGACGGGCAAGAATTTAAACCTCAATTTTCATATATGATCTATAATGTACGCTATGTGGAAGTTAGTTAACGATAGTGTCGCGTAACACGTCGATCGCTCCAAAAGAACCCTGGGCGCACCTTCGCCTGCGATGTACTGCCGACATGACCCCGTCTGATCTATCCGTGATCGTGCGGAAACGCACGGGCTGTTCGCAACAGCACCATCACGGCCCGGCCCGGTGTTCCGTCTACGTCTCTACGGTTCTTCCCCTTATCTACGTTCGTTCGGCAGTCTCGCAGGGCGTTAGCCCTTAGAACTAATCTGTGATGTTATTCCTAGTCCAAAATCTGTGTGGTCAATCGGCGGGTCGAGGAAGGCGACCCGACGTGAGTTAGTTCTTGTTTTTAGTCGTTACTAACATTTGATAGTTCATTGAAGAAAAAAGGTTACAATCATAAATTCTTAATAGTTCGGTGTTCGTGTAGTGTAGTAATACGGGTCAAATCCCACAAGTGTTTGCTTATTAGGTCGTTGCAATTCGGTCAGTTTGTTGGGTTCTTAAACGCCTTAGTTCATCTTTAAGTAAGCGTTCACCGCGGGGCGTTTACTGTTAGGTTGTCGTGGCTCATGTTCCTTAGCGGGCACCCGGTTTCCATCCTTGGCCACCCGCAGGTCCTCTCCTGGACCCACCGATCCGCAACATGGTGCATCGAGCGATGGCGAAACGGACTCGTTCGGTTATCGGCTCACGATAACCGGTAAAAAGAAGCCCTGCCACTGCCCTCCAGGATTCGACTTGCGGTTCGCTCAAGGAAAACAACATGGACAAGGACCCGGATAGTTCAAGATCGACTGTGGTACAACAATCGATGGAGTGGATCGCGCCGTGCTCCCCGACAACAGCAGTTGACTAGGGGTGGCAACTAGTCAACAGTCTGGTATGAACTAGGGGAGCCGGCAGCAACATCGAAGGACGCGGAGGAAGGAGCCAGAAGAAACGGATGGACTCACACGGAGTGTGGGCGGCGAGTAATCGGAGCCCTCCAGCCTGAGCTGTAGTAGCGCCACAGCAAAGGCCGGTAGACTGATGTGACTAGTCCACGTACGGTAAGTCCCAAGCAATTGGGCGCACTGAGGGAGGAGCTCCTCATAACCCCTCTGCCATGTGGGTTGGCCACCCAATAAGGTAGCCAGGGTAAGGTGTTAGCGGACGGGTCTACCAACTCAGTGGGTCCTTCTTCTAGCTACTTCAGCCGTAACTTCACTTCCCTCCTGTACTACGTCCAAGGCAAAATCAGTCATCAAGGGTCAAGTCCACTCGGGTCAACAATCAATGGGCCAATAGTACAGCAATCAAAAAAAAATGAACTAGGTAAAGTAATCCAATAAAGTAAAAGTAGGTAATAGGTAACTACATGCAAAATACTTTAATAATAAGTAGCATTCACTTACCTTATTGCTGCATTCATCTTCTTTTTTTCGTAATTCATTTATTCCTTGTGTGTCGTTGTCGCATTTCATTTCATTTCTCTATTACAGTATCCTGGCGTTCCACACGGGAACCCCATGATACTTTTAACGCTATTAACAGTGAACTAACGTCACGTCGAGTCGCTTAACAAAAACCCGAACAAAAACACGACCACACAAAATAATTATTTCAGATAGCATCTCAGATTTGGGATCAGTGGCTTACCTGTCACAATTCTACTGCGAGAGTCAACGATGTCTGCATCCAGCTACATCAAAGGACAAATCACGAGGGCTGCGAACGTATTGAAGGAGAAGATCGCGGAGACGGAGAAGACCATGACCGAGATCTACGACTTCGAACAGAAGACCGGAAGTTACGGGGACAAGAAGACGGTTATGAAGTTTAATACAGAATTGCTGGAAGCCCAAGTTGGGTTGAACCATTGGATGAACAACCTAACCAGCGCTTGGAAGCGAGGCGAAGAGCACGTCAAACAGCTCGACAAAGAGGAAACTTGCTACCAAGTACTTCAGGAATTCACCGAACATTGGGAAAAGAGCAACGCGGAAAAATACATGATTAACGCTCAACTCCTTGCCCAATCCACGGAATACCTGAAGCAGGGACTGGAAGAGAGTTTATCCAATGAGAGCAAGCCAACAAAGGCGTACTCCAAGTCTACTTCAGAATTCGAAGTCCAACTACCGAGGCTGGAAATACCACATTTCCAGGGGGATATGGTAGAATTCCCGGAGTTCTGGGAGCTGTACAAGCTTGCAGTTCATGATAATCCAACTTTAGCTGCGGCAGCCAAATTCCTTCATCTCAAGAGTGTACTGAAGGGCACAGCGAAGGACCTAATGGCCTCGATGACCTTGTCGGCGGAAAATTACCCCAAGGCGATCGAGCTCTTGCTTAATACATATAATAGACCGGATGTTCTGAGAAACAGGCTCATCGAACAACTGGAGGCACTACCTCCATCCGGAAGAGCAGTCACAGAGCAGCGTATTACATTATGCAAGGTGAAAGCGATTTGGGTCCAACTTGCCAACCTCGCTGAGCAGCCCGGCTCAACGATGACAATGAGGACTGTCCGCTCAAAATTTCCAAGGAAGACGAGGGAAAAAGTTGGAGAGAAACGTAGAAAAGGTGACAACTGGACTACAGAGGACCTAATCGAAGCATTCGACGAAGTCATCGACCAGTTGGAAATCATCGAAGATACGGATCCTACTCCAACTCCCAAGTCAAGATCGCATAAAATCAATAGTTCACGTAGTCCCACACGGCCTAAAAAGTCAATGTCGGGAAAAATTCGAAGGAGCAGCAGTACCGAGTCCAACAAAGGAGCATTACCGAAACGCAAGCTCAGAAGCAAGGACAAGTCCACTAATTCAAAAGAGCGCTGCAGTTTTTGCCTGCAAACCAGGCACAGAACTGCGGAGTGCGACGAGGTGACTTCTCCGTATGCAAGAAGGGAAGCAGTAGTTCAATTTCGGTTATGCTGGAAATGCCTTAAACAAGGACACAAGAGTCAGGACTGCGATGCCCCGACGTGCTACAAATGCGGTCGAAACCATCACAGATCCCTTTGTCTTCAGCGCAGATCCTCATTTAGTCCAAGAAGATCGAGTAGTCCAAGGAACAGATACACAAGGAGGAACAGCTCCGTGGACAGTTATTCATCGGAAGTAAGCACAAGGAACAGCTCAAGATCGAAGTCCCGTTCCCCCAGTCCAGACAGGAGAGGAAGGTCCCCTACGAGAAGACAAAGACCTTACCGCAGAGGATCACCTCACCCGAAAGTCGGATTCAGGGATTCGGCGAGAACGTATGCTTACTCCAACTCATCCCCTACTCCAAACTCGGATCGGAATCAACCGAAACACGAAGAAGAGCTTGAAGTAGATTCTCACTCGGAGGATTCGGAAGAAGAAACCGTCCGTATTAATACAATTAGTGCAAAAGCATTTTCAACACACGCACTAAGCAAAAATCAAAGATCAAGTGGGGACAAAATCACAGCAATGCTTAATCCACCTCAGCTTATGGTAGTTCAAGCACTGACAGTCAACAAAAATACTAAGTCCAAACAGCTTATTACAGTACTCCTAGACAGTGGCTCTCAACACAGCTACATAAAAAAGGATACTGCACGAAACTTAGGATTAAAACTCAAAAACCCGCAGAATATTACTGCACTAACATTTGGAGGCCATCTTAACACAGAAAAATCATACCGTGTCAGAATTATACTCCAAAATAGGCAGAGTGGCCTTCCAACAAAACTCTACTTATGGACACGCAGGAACATCACCTCCGTGGAAATAAGCAACAGCGATACGGACCTCGACAAACGCCACAGAAGGGATAAAACGACGGAAGTGGAAGTCGAC